CTTAATCTTCCGCATGTTTTTAACCGTTTGGGTATCAAGAGTCCTCATACTTAGGTGTTAGAGTAGGTGCCCGCATGACCCGGTGGGTTGGGTCGTGACAAATTGGTATCAGAGCCCAGGTTGCCAGTCTCCCAATACAAGAGCAAATGTGGAATAGACTCCTGCGGATTGGTGTGTTGACGTCCACATCTAATCTTCAGGAAGCTATGAAGCATTCTAGGAAGTGGTTCCATTTCTTCTCTCCTTCTGTGCGGGTTGTTGCTTGTGGTATGGGTTGAGTTCAATTGGTATCTTCAGATTCCAATTGGTATCTTAACAAAGTGAACTGGATGTCGTAGTCGCGGTGGAAGGGACACAAGCAAGGTAAATTAGAACCGAGAAGGTTCCAATTAGTATATGGCCTTAGAGGCTGTATAAACGCATGTATGATCAGCTAATAGTCATCCATGAAGCGAATTAAGTTAATAATTTTGACTTGCTTGTGTGATGTAGCTTGAAATTGTGATTATGCGCATGGTGTTGTCTGAATAACTGCTGGTGTGTGAAGTGTACTTGCTTGAATGCTATGATGTGATTATGTGCACAGTGTTGCCCGTCTAGATTTCGATGTGTGTAATGTACTTGCCTAAATGTTTGAAATTATGTGAGTTATGATTGCTTGGGTTTTTGTTAACTTGTTGTCAGAGAGAGAGTCATCACTTGGTTATGTGTAGAGCTGTCAAAATGGGCTTGGCCCACTAGGCCGGCCCAACCCAACCCTTGAATTAAATGGGGTTGAGCTCAATTTTTTCAGCCCATTTAGGAACGAGGCTTTTTAGCCCAGCCTCATTTGGCCCGCTGGCTTCGTAGGGCCAACCCGCAAGCCTCAGAGGCCAGCCCGTGGGCTGTGAATTTTAAAAATATTTATTATATATATTTTAAGTAGTGTTTTACTTGTTAAGAATTTGTTAATAAATACTTTAAAAGTATCAATATAAAATCAAGACTATATTTTTTACATATCTTTTACACTTTAGGGTCATTAGTCCACTAAATTTTTCTTATTTAGCTCAAGTCCATTTACTCCATCATAACTATGAATCTTTGACCTTTTTCACATTTGTTTTATGCCTAATTTGTCACTTCTTCTTTATTGTCTTGTTTATGAAAATAGTGATCATGTAATATTTTTTTGCTCGAATGAATCTTATGAATGTTGTATCTTTGCTATTGTGTATTTGTTTTGTAAATATTCACTGAAGTATGTGTAATTCATGAATGAATTTATGTATGTATTGATGTCGTGTTCATCGGACATCAACGTTCGTATCCTTTCTAAGAGGAAAATATTGTCCATTTTTTGGTTGAAGGGCCAACCCGTCCCAACTCTTGGCCCACTTAGGGTTGGGTTGGGATGCTATTTTATAGGCCCTTTAATTAAAAGGGCCAGCCTGTCCCAACCCATTTAACTCTCTAGCCCGTTAGGTTTGGGTTGGGTTGGGTTAGGTCAGCCCATTTTGACAGCTCTAGTTATGTGCAAAGGTCTAGAGATAAACTACGATGTGATTCATAAACAAATTCTTGACGTGTGACATGATATACTTATGAGAGGGAATGCAACTTTTAGTTGTGCATGGACTTACCATTGATAAATAGGGTAAGGGAAACGAACGACTTGTGATTGTAGGGAAACTACGGTTTCAGGGCAGTCGGGATTGGTCGTGAACCATGTAAGAAAAAAGGCTATTATTGCATAATAGTGGAATTTGTTGTTATGAAATGTTCCCTTGACGTGTTTTGCAACCAATTATAAACCGTGTAATTAATAGACATATTCTTAGGATGTGCATGCTTGCTGTGTTAAATTAGTGGGAAAAAGTTCTGGTGTGTACACCGCTGGGTTGACCTCGGGATGGACAACTCCTAGCTTAGCTAAGAGGGTTATCCTAAATGCTTAATTATGGTCCTGGGAGTTAATGAAAAACTCTAGAAATGGGGGAACCCCAGGAAGTGTTGTCTTGGAAACTGACCCCGTTAGGGCTGCTGGGGAGAGATCATCCCGTCAGGGCAGGACCGCCAGAGCAGGAAGTCTTTCGCTAGAGCGGGAGACGATGAGACAAAATCCCAGCCCTGTCTCCCCTGTTTTTCCCTTGTTTCGCCTATGGACTCCGAATCGTGCATTGACTAAATTCCGCAATCCAATCAGTACTGAGTAATAGAACAATGAGTTATAATCTTCTAGCATTTAATTACGGCTATGAAAATAGCAAAACGAGCATCCATGTGCTTACAAAAACTTAAGGAAAAGAAAAAAAGGAAGTATAAATATTGTTTGTACATGCCCAAGCGGGGCAAACCCAAATCAAGGTCCATGGGGAGGGGGAGTGTTATCATCTGAATCTAGGTCCTCCGAGGCTACCTCGCCAGTCCACGTCTCGCTCAACTAGGAGAACTCCTGAAAGTCCTCCGGCTCGAGCCTGGGAAGCTCTCGCTAGGAGGAGACGCAAGAGAAAATGAGTCCTCATGCTTCGAGGACGGAGTTTATTGTTTTTTCGGTTTCTTTCTTGTATTCCCTTTTCGAATGATGTATGGGCTAGGCCCAAGTTCATTCTATTGTATTAGATTGCTATGATGAGACATGAGTTTCGACTTCCGCTTTTCATTTGGGAAAAGGCATAAATTCCCCCTTGACCTTGTCTCGAAAAGTCAGTTTCACGCTTAAACTATCATAGTGACCTATTACACACCTATACTATTCAAAAGTGAATTTTCTTACCCTCTAAAACTGACGAGGCAAAAAAATAAAAATAGGCGCGTCAGTTTGAAATTAAAGTAAAATAAAGTTAGAATCCTCTTTTCCACCCCCACCCCCACACCTCTTCTTCTTCAAACCCCATCCATTGTACTCTTCTTCTTCATTCTTTATTTTCATCACAATCTTAAAGCACAATTTTTTTTTGATTCGCAATTAGGTTAATTCCCATAGATTTGTTAGTGAATAATTGTATTTTATCAAGAAATTTTTTGATTGATTGTTTCTATCTGTTTCATTTTTTTTTACTTTTTTAAAGAATTTTTGGTTGTTAATTAATTTTTTATTTTGGTGGTAATAGCAACTTTGAAAAAAATGATATTGATAATGATGGTAGTGATATTTGGTGTTGGGTGACAAAGAAGAAGAAGAATTGAAGGTGATATAATGGTGGTGAAGAACAAAATCAATAGTGAAGGTGGGACCGAATATGATTTTCCAATGAAATGAGAATTTAAAATCGATGGAATTAGTGATGAAGAAGATACAATTATTAGAGAATTAAAACAATTAATTAGGGATTAGTTAGAGTAAAATATAGTTAACAAAATAAAATTTAATTAATAAAGAAAAAATAAATAAATTATAATTTATGACATGACGCTGACGTAGCGCTGATGTGGCAGCTAGTGTAATACACCACATAATGTGAGAGTGGTGTTACACGTCTCAGGGTGGTAATAAATTCACTTTTGAGTAGTTAAGGTGTGTAATAGGTCACCATGATAGTTTAAGTGTGTAACTGACTTTTCGGGACAAGTTCGGGGGGGGGGAGGGAGAATCTATGCCTTTTCCCCTTTTCATTTTATAAAATGTTTTGGACTTGGACTACTGTTTTACCCTTATCATTCTATTTCTTAGGTTATGAGACCTAAGTGGCTTGTGTGGAGTCCTTTGGGGTTCCATACGCCATGTTATGTCTAGGGGGTATCCATGGGTCATGACAAAGTTGGTAATCAGAGCACAAGGTTTAGAATGGTCCTAGGATGTCTCATAAGCCACGTCTATTAGAGTCTTGTTCATGAGTGTGAAACGTGCCACATTTATGAATGAGAGACTACAAGATGATTAGTAAACTCCACTTCTTTCATTACTCTAAAGTCGTGCGATAGAGTTTAACTCTATAAAGTCTCTCTCCTAATCCTTATCCTATATTCTCCAGGATATGTCTACGCGAAGAGCTTATACTAGAAGGAATGTGAGGGAGAATGTGGAACAACGAAGCCTCCTCCCCCAAGCTCCTCCTCAAGCTCCGGTCGATCCTTTGGCCGAACAAGTTACAAATGCAGAGTTTAGATCAGCTTTTCAAGTGTTGGCTCGAGCCGTGATGGTCCAAGCCAATAGGGAGGTGGTAGTACCCGTGAACCCAAATGTGGGTACGGCGGCTTCAAGAGTGAGGGACTTCATGAGGATGAACCCTCTGGAATTTTATGGCTCCAAGGTTGATGAAGATCCTCAAGAGTTTATCGATGAAGTCTATAAGGTACTTGCTATCATGGGAGTGACTTCGGGAGAAAAGGCAAAATTGGTTGCTTATCAATTGAAAGGTGTTGCTCAAGTGTGGTATAATCAATGAAAAAAAACAAGACCGGTAGTAGCGGACCCCATAAAATGGGAAATGTTTAAATCACCTTTTCTTGATAGGTTCTTTCCTCTTGAGATGAGGGAAGAAAACGTGCTTGAGTTCATTAACCTTCGTCAAAGAAGTATGAGTGTGAAGGAATATGCTCTAAAGTTTACACAACTATCCAAATATGCTCCAACAATAGTTGCCGATTCTATGGCTAGAATGAGTAAGTTTGTGTCGGGTATGTCCGAAATGGCGGTTAAAGAGTGCCAAACTGCTATGCTCATTCATGATATGGACATCTCACTTCTCATGGTACATGCACAACAAATCAAAAAGTAGAAACTTAAAGAGAAGGCTAGGGAGGTAAAAAGGGCTAAGACCGGTGATGGTAATTTTTCACATGCAAGATTTGATGGACATGGTCATCCTAGATTCCGACAAGGGTCATCCGGTCAAAGTTCCTCCAATGCTCCTTTTAACTTCAACAAGGATAGGGTGTCTAACCCTAAACCTCAATGAGGCAATGGTGGTATATCTTCCGTGGCTAGGTACATTTGTGCTAAGTGTGGGAAGAAGCACGATAGTAAGTGTCTACCCAACACGAATGGTTGCTTTAGTTGTGGAAAGAGTGTTCACAAAATGAGGGATTGCCCAATGTTTGCTACAAAAGGAAGGGAAGGCAAGCAGGCTCCTCCTAGTGGTTTGAATTCCAATGCTCCAAAGCAAAACCGCTTCTATGCTCTCCAAACCCGAGGTGACCAAGATAGTTCTCCGGATGTAATTACTGATATGTTAAGAGTCTTTCAACATGATGTATATGCTTTACTTGACCCCGGTGCTAGTTTGTCTTTTGTGACGCCATTTATGGCCATGAAGTTTGATTTACTCCCCGATGTATTGTCAGAACCATTTTCTGTCTCTACTCATGCTGGAGATTGTGTGGTGGCTAAGAGGGTTTATAGAAAATGTCCCGTTTCCTTGTCCCATAGAGTTACTTTTGTTGACTTAGTAGAGCTTGATATGTTAGACTTTGATTTCATTCTTGGTATGAATTGGTTGCATTCATGTTATGCCTCTCTTGATTGGAGAAATCGTGTGCTCAAGTTCCAGTTTCCAAATGACCTGATATACCGTGAGTTTACGGTATTTCTAATACATTTCACTTACAAGTTGTGTGTGTCTAGGGCCTTTTTATATTGATTTTTATGTGTTTTTATTATGTTTTACAGGAAAGATGTTCAGGCGCGGAAGTATAGAGACAGCTGAAAGAAATGCAGAAGAAGGGCATTCACGGAGGTGATCTACGGACCGTAGGTGATGACCGTAGAATCAGCATGCAAGGTATGGAGGACAAATCAGGGAAATCTGACCAAGTGTGGAACCATGGTGTCCATTAACGGTCTGTAGGTCGAACTACGGTCCGTACTGCTAGTCCATCGTTTGCTTCAGAGAAGCTGATTTTTTGGAAGCTGAAATATTTTCTAAGTCCTGGCTGACGGAAGGGACTTACGGACCGTAGATCCATCGACGGTCCGTAAGTCTGTCTCGTGGATTGAAGACGCGTACCTTGAACAAACTTTCCTTAATTTGTTTCCCTTTTAATTTAGGATTTGTTTTCTATAAATAGGGCATGTAAACCTCGTTTTTGGGGGTTTAGACATTATTATTTTACTTGGTGACTTTGGAGATAAAATTGCAACCCTAGCAATTATTGGTTTCCTAAGTTCGTTTTGAAGATTTTGG